GATAAGAAAGACAAAAAAGTCTGGATAGTGGACGTGGCAGTGCCTGGAGACAGCAGAATAGAAGAGAAAGAACTGGAGAAAATAACAAAATACAAAGACCTACAAATAGAAATAGGAAGACTGTGGCAAAAGCAAGCAAGGGTAGTACCAATAATCATAGGCGCCTTGGGTTCAATCCGAAAACAACTGGAGCACCACTTGAACACCATTGGCATTGACAAATTCGCTATTAGTCAATTGCAAAAGGCGGCCTTATTAGGAACTGCTTCCATTCTGCGACGATATCTGTAATACCATCAAACATCCACATCTGCCTATCCCAGGTCCTGGATAAGGACTTGATAGGTAGAGAAAATGCCAAATCCAGTCTGAACATCTGGCTGACTGTGCGATGATCAATAATGATGATGATGATGATGATGATGATGTTGGAAGGAACCTTGGAGGTCATCTTGTCCAACCCCCTGCTCAGGCAGGAACCCTACACCATTTCAGACAAATGGCTGTCCAGTCTCTTCTTAAAAACTTCCAGTGTTGGAGCATTCACCACTTCTGGAGGTAGGTTGTTCCACTGGTTAATTGTTCCAATTGTCAGGAAGTTTCTCCTTAGTTCTAGGTTGCTTCTCTTCTTGATTAGTTTCCATCCGTTGCTTCTTGTCCTGCCTTCAGGCGCTTTGGAAAATAGCTTGACTCCCTCTTCTTTGTGGCAGCCCCTGAGATATTGGAACACTACTATCATGTCCCCCTTTGTCCTTCTCTTCGTTAAACTAGACATACCCAATTCCAATTCTTTATGCTCATTTGAACTGCCTGAATCTCCCAAATTCCCTGGCACTTAACATGATATCCCAAATCATACTTAGCTGAAATCTCTGTAGATGAGCCAATTTTCATTGACTTCCTGAAAGCCATTAGGATAGCATGATGTACAATACTACAATAATCTAAGCCAAATATTACCAGAGAATAGATTACCGTTATAAGATTGTCTCTATCCATATCAGTCAATCGCTAATGATTTAGCACTAGTATAGCCTTCAAATCATCTGGATTAATCTTTAGTTTGTTGGCCCTCACTCAATGATTTCATGTAGATGTTAAACAGCATATGGGGAAATGAAACTTTTTGGAATCCAAAAAGCTATAAGATTGAGTAGAAATCCTTCAATAACCTTTGGAGATAGCTATCCAGGTATGAGTCTAAAGGTGTTCCTTCCTCGACTATTTGGGACATCCTCTCAAGAAGAATACGTGATCAATGGTATTGAAGCTATTGAAAGACCCAGGAGAATCAAGATTTCATTTTTCCTATCTCTCCACTGGGAAAGACCATTTAACAGAGAACTAAGGCCTAAACCCCAGTTGAAATGAATCTAGAAAATGTGTTTCATCCAGGAGTATCTGGATCTGGTCATCCACTGCGTGCTCAATTCCAGGAAAGAATGTTGCCCACTGACCTATATTCTATACATCTTATGGATCCAATTACAATATCTTGATGAGTAGTCTCACTGGAGCCTTCTTTATAGGAAGGGGGATCACACCCCCTTGTAAGAAAGAATTCATAATTGCTGGATGTATATATACATTATTTATACATATATAATGCATTATTTATAATCCATCTGAACACCACCTTTCTACTAGATGGAATAATTGACAGCGGCAAGGAGCAAGCATCATGTGGTTGGCTAATTTTGCCTCTGCATCTTCTCTCTATTATCAGCCCTTAAAATTAAACTCAATCAAAGATGTCTGATAAGATAATTCTGGACATCTCTGCAAACTGAACTACTATATTCTAAGTCTAAGAATATAATCAATGTTGCCATATAAATGTGTAATCAACATATAAATAGTGAGCTACTGAGGGTTCTGTATAATATGTAACTGGGCCAGGTCCCAGAAGGCCTTAAATCACTGAAAAAGCTCCACTGGGTGACACTGAGATGACACAAAAAAGAAAAATGGCTGTTTAACCATAATCACTACAAAGCAGACTTGATAATTAGCTTTAACTAGTGTTCAGTTAGATGCAAGATGAGTTTTCCTTACTTGCTCCATTTCCTTCAGCCAAAATGTATACCAACTGAATGAATGGGCTTTGCACATGGGAAAAGATGCTCAGGAGTTATTGTTTCAAGTGGTCACTTATTTCACAAAACAGCCAAATATTGATGAAAATGCCAACCATATCAATTGGAAAACTTCATTAAATCTTTTGAAATCCATTGGAATTTATATGTGGACTATTCTGATGGTTTCATCCCTGCAAAAAAACCACTATAAGCCTCAATCCCAACAGGATGTGGTTTGACCATGAGAAGGTACAGATTAAAATTCCCCACTTTCAGTACACCAACCCAGCCACATTCCATACCATTCCATTCCATTCCATATATATAGATATAGATATATATCTCTTCAGATTGTGGCTTGCCGCACATATTGCACCAATAACTAGTTAAGAAAGACTTATGCTGGTCATGGTGGTTATAAAGTCCTGAATAATCTCAATCAAAGCAGACCAGCATGGATGTTCATAACTATCAGACTAGCAATTCCCAGCACCAAGTCCAAGACAACTCTTGCCAGCTCAGGTAGGAACACTTGCTCAGCAAGATGGATGACGTGTGTTGCTATATAATATAACCAACAAAATCCCCAGTCTGTCCTGATGATGTTACCTAGTTTGGGTCATGAAATGTCTGCAAGAAAACAAGCTCAGAAAGCACCAAGCACACCTCATGTCAACTTTGAGCTACAAATATTCTGCTTTATTAGGGTATGCTTTAGTCAGCATCATGAATCCACTGGTTCCTGAAAGGATTTTTGCTTAACAAACTGCTTCACTGGCCCTCAGTACTTTAAACCAGGTTCACCGTGCTTTATACTATCTGTGTGTATTCTTCTTTTTGAATACTTTCTGCAGTCCTTCCAATTTCTGAATGACATGAACTCTCAGTACTGTGATTGACTAGTTCAGTTGTCCATTTATAAGGTAGTTTCTTAGCTCTTGAAATAGGTTTTGAGTAAGTTATTTGCTCATTTTATACTTGTCTATAAAATGGTAAGACATCCCAGATTTCAGGTGAGATAAGTATGTGCAAATAATCAGTAAGACTTAAAAGTAGATATATCTATAGAACAGCAGAAAAATTATAACAAAATCAAATTCAGTGAGGTTTTCATATTCCTGTGATCCCTAATCACGGATTCATATTTTCATGGTAGTGATGGCAAAATTTATCATAGTAAAAATTTGACTACTACTTGCTGCATTCATCCTGAATGAAAATATAGTATAGGCATATCCAGTTTCATTGATCATCATCTAAGTTAAATAGCTTGTGACCTTTGTGTGCTGGGTGTCTGTGTTAAACAATTCCAACTTAACTTTAAGCATACATGTAAATATTTAGGCATAGGTAGAGGGTTTGGGGGTAAAAATAGAGATTTTTACAAAATTTCATACTTTTGTGGGAAGAGTTCACATGTAATCATCATGAATATGGTGACCTGTATTCTGGTGTTTGTGGTTAAAAAAATAAAGAAGAAAGCAATCTTGTATTGCATAATAATCTTAAGTAATAGATACTTACTGTCCTTTGGTGGTATCCTTGTTACGTGAGGTAAAATGTCTCTCTAATACTGTAGATCAGGGCCTTAAAATTAAGTGGGTGATTGCACTGCTTCCTTGGCTTCTAACGGAAAAGTCATCTGGATATTACAATTCCAATAACTCAAGCTCTGATTTGTCCCTTCTTTCATGATGATTATTATATGCCAGGGGTCTTCAAACTTGGCAACTTTAAGACTTATGGACTTCAACTCCCAGAATTCCTCAGCCAGCCCTGGCTGGATGAAGAATTCTGGGAGTTGAAGTCCACAAGTCTTAAAGTTGCCAAATTTGAAGACCCTTGTTATATGCCCTCCCTATCATTGGAGGGAGGTTATGGAGGTTTTTTTTTAATCGAAAATGGCTTGCTTCTGTAGCTGCTATTTTAATGTTATACATGTGTGTGCAATTGTAAAACTTTGATGAGATGAATTGCTATTTTCAAAAATATCCTGTCTCCTAAAATTGTGGGACAGTGTTGTACTACAGGTGCCGCATTTTAGTATCAGAAAAATGAAGCCTACTCATTCTTTATGCTGCTGTTGTATTTTTTTCATACAAGAGCTTGTAAATTTCAGGCAGTGTTGCACGTTTTGTGTCTCCCGCCCTACTCTACTGCCATATATGTGTCTGGCCTTAATGACAAGGTTATTATTTGTGTAAGGGGAAAAACACCTGCTTGATGGGGAGATCATTAATTTAATCATGCAAATCCATACATGTTTCAGTAACCTAAAAAGACAGTTACAACTCAGTTACGTATTTTTTGTGTTCTAATAGCCTGAATATTCCTTGCTTCTTTTAGTATAGTCTGCATTAGGGAACTGAGTAATTTTTTTAAAGGATGAAATCATAGTCCCACATGAAACTGACTGCACTGCATACCTCAATTTAGACCCATTCCCTGATGCAGTTTTAGATACTAACAAAATGCATTTCAGTCTCCTGTAATTATCCTTTCAAAAAAGATAAAATTTTACTGTAAGTTGTCTGATTCTGTTTTAAGTGAACAAGAAAACCTGGGAGAGGTTGTCTCTTTAAATCAGATCTGCAGTGTTGATGGACCCTCTAGCAGGCATGGTAAGAACCATTCTCACCTCTGCAGCAGGGAGCTTGACCATAAAGATCCTCACATTCAATCAAAACGCTTTCTGTTTTAATATGCACTGTACCAGCCCTATTCCCATGGTTACAGCTCCTGCTCCTTTGGTTGTTTCTAGCATGTTGGAAAATTGAGGCAGAGCACATTTTCTCGTACAGGAGTTTAAAATATAATGAAAGCAGCCCTGTTGTGATTTGCATTTTAAATTCTCTCCCTCTCTCTCTTTCTCTCTCTCCCTCTCTCTTTCTCTCTCTCTCCCCCCTCCTTCTCATTGTACAGAATGCTGTGGCAATAGCTTCAGTTCATTTGCCACAGTCTGTCTTCTCCTCATCTGCAGCCTGGCAATCTGTTGATAACTCCTCTTGCAAGCTACAGTTTATTGCCTTTCGGAATGGAAAACTCTTTCCCAACACTGCAAACTCGTCTCACCTTGCAGGTTATGGGAATCAGAGGGTCATTGGCACACCCGTAGTCTTCATTAAAATAGGTAAGTGTTTTGCATTGCTTTTTTTATTATTCTAAAGCCTAGCTATACATGAGAGTGTCTCGTATAATGGTGCATTGTAGCACGCAGGTATGCTGATCTGAGAATTGCCTCTGCTCTAAGAGAAATATGTCTTTTATTACCGGTGTCTTCATATTTTAAAAAGAAACTTATACAGCTGAGAAGCTTGGCAATTGTAAATATAGGATTCTCTTTTGTGGCTTGCTGAAGTTTATCAGAAAGTTAAAAAAAAAAAGAATTGTGTGAAGAAGGAGGAAATGGAATGTTGCTTTTTAGTTCTGATTATAGCCATAGAAAGTCCGGATCCTAAAAAGATTGGTAGCAGGGATGGGCTCAGTCCTGTTGCATGTATGTTGATAGTCATCAGTCTACTTCTTGAAATGATAAATGTACAGTATAACAAGCGTTTTTGTTGATGAACGTAATGGGTTACATATTCTCCTTTTGGTGTAATATTCAAACAGTGATCTGTTAAACATTTCATTATATCCTGAATTGGATTCACATTTTGGAAGGTTATAATTTAATTTTTGGAATATGAAATTGTCTCTGATGTTAATTCTATCAAAGATAATTGTTTACTATTGTTGTTTGAAACAATTATTTTTATTCAGGGTGTTTAAGTAGCACTGTTATTTGCAGATTAACCTAATAAAATGTCAATTATAGGCAATATTAACTATTCCAAACTTTTGTACATTGCTTTCTGCTGATAGACCAGGAGAGGGATTTTTGCTCTCTCTAATGTCTATATATGTGTACAAAAATTGCTATCGGCTTCTATAAAGAGCATATAGTAATAAAGCATTTTCCGCTTCATTGCTTTAATTCAGTTTGTTCCTTTGGCAGATGGGTGCAATATCGGAAACCTCACCAGTCCTCTTATTATAACGCTGAAGCACTTTACCCAGGGCATAAACCCCATTGCAGTCTTTTGGGATTTTGACCTTCTAGATGGACATGGAGGCTGGTGGGGAGAAGGGTGCCACATAATTAGCTCTGCAGACAGTATTACCACTCTTCATAGTACTCACTTCGGTAACTTTGCAGTGCTAATGGTGAGTATATAACTTCACATATTGTCTGTGTGTGAATCTGCTTGCCTGTCTTTACTTACCAGTATCTGGTTATTAATCTTGGATTCCTTTTAGTTTAGGGAATTAAATGAGGGTAACTTAAAAGAGCTATGCTCAATACTTAATAATACACAACTATATTACCTGCTAGCAGGCCTTGTTATGAATTATTTAATGAAAAATGAAAGTTCTATCAAGAAACTACAGTAATGAAAGTAAATTATCTGTCTGTGTATGTCTGCGTATGTCTACGTATGTGTATATGTAAATATATACATATATATATATATACACACAATGTATATATTCATTCCCCTTCTTAAGAAGGGATGTCTTCTACATATCTAGTGCTGTGTTGATCATATTAATTGCTGGTTTACTGCAATATTGAATCATTAATAAATGGAAAAAACAAAGATTGCTGCTTCACTAAACAAGGATTCTGTAGTCCTCTCTGACAGTTCTTGAAATTCAGGTCCCTGTGCTGACGATAGCATTCTTTTTACTAAATGGCTGCTTTTAAAGAAAGAAAAAAACATATTTATGTGCACTGCTAACACAAAGGTTGCTGAGGTTTTTCCTCAGGCATATTTGCAGTTCACTATGCAGTTATTCAATAGTTTTATTAACTGAAAAGTTATCAGGGCAGACACAAAAGGCATATTAAATTAGAGAATGTATCAGCTGTGAAGTAAATGTAAACAGCGGATGAAACGTATGAGGGAGACTTATGTTTTCTGCAGCCTAGAGAAGGGTTACTCAGTCTCGGTATCTCTTTGAAAGGAAGTAGTGTTCAGTCATCATCTCTCCCTAATGTTGAATCCGGCATTCATTCCAGAATATACTTGTGAAGAGAAGGTGCCCCTTATGAGCACCACTGAAAGGTTCATACTTGAGTAAATAATGCAGAGTGCGTAGAATGGATATAGAATGGCAAACAAAACAAAACCCAGATGACAGGGAATTGAAAGGACGTGTGCAGAGAATGCCAGTCTGTTGCTGTCAGATGGAGCACAGATGTCAGCCAGTCATGGACCAAGTCAGTGACAACAAGTATCTAAATACCAGTCTTGCTTTCTGCTTTATTAAATGAAGTGCCTTCAGTATCACATGACCCATTTGTTTTCACGCTGCATATTACATTAGAATGCCCTAAAGATCCAGTGATTGAAAGTTCCACTTTCTAAGCATGCGAGACAAACAAGGCTATATTTGAACATTTAGTTAGCTTTTGATGGAGGAAGGGGGAATTCTGCTGTGGTTCCTCATAATCTTTTCCAAAAGTACCTGTTGGTGCTGCAGATACCACACCCATTTCAGCTGACTAGTTTGGCACTGTCAATGATGTCCTTAAAACTTTGTATTTATTTAAAAAGTGGGGAAACTTCTTTTTACCTTTGTAGACCATCTGGAATAAATTTATGTTATCATATGTATTTTAATTTGCTGTTCATACCATTTTGAGGGGTGCAGTGTCTCCTATTAATAGGACTTCACATAGTCACGAATGAGTTAAAGACTGCAAGACTCCTGGGTACTTTACTGTAATGTGTATTAGAATATCAAAAAAAGCATAACATTTTATGAACACAGATTTGACCTCATTGAACTAATGTAACATGATTCCCCTAGAAAATAAGCCCATTGTTATGTTTGTCTTGTGATTTTAACAGATTTTCTGTAATTATCAGGAAAAACATTTAAAAAGCATTATTAGTGGATGAATCATATGCTAGTGTAGTCTGGAGATTAAAGCAGGAGATATTAAAGCAGAAGATCTAAGCTAAAGTTGATGAAGAATTCTATAAGATATTCAACAATGTGGATTTGGGTTTAAAAAATCCTGTTTGTATGAGCTTTATTAGAATTGAGATAGTACAATCTGTATTCCAGTCAGTTGTGAAACACATTGGGTGTCCTTGAGCAAGTCACTCTCTCTCAGCACTGGGGAAGGTCTGTGGATCTGCAAGCATTGCATGCAGAAGATTCCAGATTCAAATCCTGCCTTTTCTAATTGTGCTAGGAGAAACTACTTCCTCAAATCCTGGACTCTGTTTATTATTGTTGACATTTATTAAGTTAGATGGACCAATGGTTCGACTTAAGAAGAAGTGACCTCATCTGTTTTGCAAGGTTACTAAAGTGATACAGAGATAAACTTCAAATATATAAACAGGCTCTAGGGAATACAACCATCATTATAATGATGCAAGTCTTTTTTGTGAGATGTTCTTTGATTTATGTTGATCTTCTTTTCCTTTTAAAATGAAAAATAACTTCAAAGCTCTGAATGAAATAGTAGCCTTAAAAATGAATGGAATGGTTAGCTATAGTGAAGCAGATGCATTAGCAAGATGACGGCAGTTTTCAATGTAATTTCTGTTACTGCAATTGTAACGTAACATTTGAGAACTATAGGTTCAAACTACACTGTTTATACTTTTCATTCTATTTGACTGCTTATTGGTGTCTGTGACACTTTTTCTACATGATGATGTTCCCTCAGAAAATTAAGAATTAGCAGTGTTCAAATGTTTAAAGGGTTGCTGACGCCACTGAAAAATAATTGATTTTGCCATGAGTTCTGTTCAGACTAAAAGTTAGCAAAACAGCTTACCCACTGCACTTACCAATTGATTGAACGGAGTATGTTTCAGAACGTCCTATATCTATGAGAATCTCTTTGGCTTTATAATTATTAAAATGCTCAGACCTACTGGAGGCTATACTGAGACAGTGTGCATTATGAAAATGAAGACCATCTGAAGCAGCCCTGGTGATCAACTCCATTTATCACCACAGTTGATTTGGTTCATCTTGCTGGCTAGCTAGGTATTTCTCCCTTCCTCACATCTTCATGCGAGGAAGCGGCACACTCATTGGAAAAGAACCACCATCCCAGCTACACAGAGTATACCAATCTTCAGTCAATGATAGCTGTGCCTCCTTGCTAGAACCTCCAAACAAATAGTATGCATTATGGAAAAATAAAGTTTCAAAAATTACAGGGCTGTTTTAAGGCAGGGTGACACTCAAGTTTTCAAGCTTTCTGGAAATCAGCCATTGTCCTTGTTTCCTGTGAGAGATTGCAGGCAAATTCAAGTTTCAGAAATCCATTGATGGCTGAAAGATCATTATACTGTCATCAACAGTTATTAAAAAAACAAAACTAAAGTATCTTGACATTCCTGTTTTTTCACTAAGAGGTAGGTCCTTTGCCTCTGCTTTGCTATGTCATCTGTCTTTGGGCCCATACATTTTAGGAAAATTGTTATGAAGTTATTATGGGTGGACTGCTCAAAATCTTATAGTGGATATTAAGCTAACTGTGGTAGAAGGTTGTTCTTGGGACCTTTACATTTAGAATCAAATGGAAAGGACTAGAATCTAATCAGCAACTTCAGAAATGATAACAGTTATAAATTATTCACCACTCTATTTTATTTCATTTCATTTTATATGTTTGCAGTTTACCCTTCTTTCCTATGGACTGTTTGGGCATGTAAGAAAGACAGATAGATGCTCAGTTTGTATTTGAAAAGCAATAGATAATAAAATTTCAGTTTCCCACAATCTGAAATAGACAAAACGTTTTAGTGCTAGACAAACATGGACGAAACTGGAAAATGAAAAAGTCAAGAAAGCTGTGGTAAAAATAAAAGGTAAAAGAGAAGAGGAAGGAGTTTAAATATAGGATATTTAATCATATAGTGAATATGAGGTAGAAATGTAAATCGTTGCTGAAGAGATTACAGTAGACTGAAGGTGTTCTTGAATGAGATATATGTCAAAAAGATGTTATTGAAGTTGTTACATTGATTTAAACAGTAAACACAACGTGAACTAGAAGGCCTATGTGTATAATGTCATATTTTATGTCATATTGTATGTCTGCTACTAATACAGCAATTCTTATAGCCCATTGTTCCTTGAATAGTCTGAAGGTCTTTAATAATGATAGCAAGATTTAGGATGAGTTGTAGCTCAGAGGCACCCTAAATATTTGTTAACATTTATCTATCCATCCAAATCAATAAGATATTTGTTTGTGTCTTTCTTGAATTCTGTTCTCTATCTATCCTAAAAGAAAAACTTAGAAATTGTTTCTCTAAAATGTCTATGGACACTCCATTATTTTAATTTTTGTAATAGTTTGACTAATTATTGATAGTTTCGTCCTTGAAAATATGTAGTTTTGGAGAGTTGTTGATAATAGTGGCTTATGTATACTGAACATTTAAAACAATATTTCCAGTATTGATGTGTCCACCAAACAGCAAAGGTCCATCAGTTACTGCAGTAGGCTGCAATGTGTACGAGTCTCTAGAGAAAGGTAGATCAATCAGAAGTAGGAAATAGAATGAAACTAATGCCAAGACAAAGATAAGTAATGAAAACAGAGTGTCTAAGTATATGACATGAAGTTGTTATACCATCACAGGTCCAGGAGGCTGAAATATTTATTTCTCTATAAAAATATGTCCTTCCTAGTTTATGAGAAATTAAGGGAAGGCTGAGAAATAATAGAAGAAATATTAGGCATAAATAATCAAAATACAGGAGGGAAATTTATTGCAGGATATCTTATAAATCAGAACTTAGTCCATTCAAAATATTCTATTGCACCCTAACCAATTCACTAATAAAGAAGAGTGAGAAATTCCTTTTACAGTTCTGTATCTGTAATTATCCTAATATTAGCATTAAATATACCTTTTGAAATTCTATGTACTTATTGTTTTCTTGCGCTTGTCCAAATTACCTAGAACTTTATGTATTTATCTATTGTGTTATAAGGTAAACTAGAGCCTTTTCTCTCTTAATTATCCATCCCAAATAAAATTACATCAGATTTACTGTCATGTTACTTCCTGGGACCAGAAGTTGAAAGGAAGGGCCCAGGGTCAAGGTTGATTGTTGGGTGTTATTAATATCACCAGCCATAGTGTCCAAGGGGCTCGATAATCTATTATTTATTCATA